TATATAATCTATTTCATTGTGATTATTGTCTCATGAATTGCCTTGATTGGTTTAAGATTTTCATCATAAATCATTCATGCATATTGGAGAGTAGAGCCTGATGACGATCTAATTGGAAACAAAAATATTATTAGCTTGTTGTTGCTGATGGTATCTGACCAAAGAATCCGAAGTATTTTGCGTAGACAACTGTTAATAAACACTTGTATCTTGTGGATGATGGTCTTCGTGGTATTGAAAATCCTGATTTTGGTTTTGGTTGAAAGTTGTTTGGAGTTGCAGATATTTTTCAATTGTAGAAATGCAGACCTTGTTTAGCCGATCCGTGCACTCACATCTGCATCGGATCCACCTTGCTCGTTAATGATGCTGCCCAGATCTGTAAAGATTTTAACATCCTCCAAGAGTGATTTGGTTGGCGTATGTCGTGTTGTATTGGAGAATCTTACTGTTCCCTTTATGTATATTGAGACCAACTACTGCTGAGGCTGTTGCTACGATGGTCATCTTCGGGTTATATTTGTTGTTATGTGTGTGCGATAGAATAGCAAGATCATCTGTGAAATGCATATCATCCAGCTACATCCTAGTCGTCGATTGCTCCCATCCTGTGCTTCCCCTTCAGATGTTGTCATCTTCAATGATCAAGTAAGCTATGAAATAAATCTTCACTTTCATTTCTGTATATAATATATACATAATCGAATTCCGTTTATGCGATGGCAATAATAAGATGCCATACATTTATCTAAGCAGACAAACATGAGAATGAAAAGCGTACAAACAAAACGAAGCTGCCTGCTCGAAGGAAGGAGCTCCCGTGGCCGAAGGAGTTGGAGGACGAAAAAAAAAAGAGCTTCCTGGAGGAGTTTGAGGCCGCGGTGAGGCTGGTGGGGTCCGATGCGGAGCTGGCGGAGCTGGGGACGCTGCGGGGAGTTGAGGCGAAGGCGGTGTACGACAGCCTGGACGGTGCCGCCGGGAAGACGGCGTGCGAGACGGTCACCGGGCGGCTGATGACGGAGTTCGACAGCCCAGTGGACAGGGAGGAGGCGCCGCAGAGGTTCCGGTTGGCGAGGCTGTCGGCTGATGGTGACCCGTTGGTGCTGGCTGTGGAGCTCACGATGTTGCTGCGCCGTGCGCTGCCGAGTATGGATGAGGAGTCGGAGGCACAGTTGTTGGCGTCGCAATTTATCGAGAGTGTGCCTCAGCAGCGGGAACTAGTAAACGCTACACTTTGGATAGATGCCGTACCCATTCCAGACCAGCGGGCAAGAAAAATGACTGAAGTAGTAATCCGGCATATTGTAGCGCGTCACGGAATACGGAAGGTGATGTTAACTGACCAGGGTCCCTGTTTTGAAAGTGACGACAGCTTATTAAATGGGGGGACGAGTGTGGTGCGAGCTATTTATAAGTTGTATATGACGTGAGTGTCAGCGTAATGTCTGGTAGCAGAAGATGAGGGAAAATCAAGAAAGGAAGAGTGGGAACACAATCGAATTTGTATGAAACGCATGAATAGTGACAATGGATTGATGTTTTGCAACAGGAACAGTCCAGTTCGTTATGATGAACTGATATTTTGCAAATTAACGATTTACGATATGGTTTTCCGATTTTACTGAGTAACTCTGTAATTTTCGTTAGATACAAACCGGTTGCCCCACCTGTGTTCTCGTTCACTACGTTCGGAAAAGATTAATTTATCCAAAGGCCGAGACACCAAGCCCTACAACCTCAACACACTACAAACTCTTCAACATACTGTTGTTTCACATTTAGACACATATGATAATTAATAATTATTATTTCCTTTTTTCTTAAAAAAAGGGGAGAAAAGGAAATTTCCCAATTCCTTTTTTCATTTATTTACTTATTTGTTTGGGACAAAAATTATTTTTAATTGACACATTATTCAATTAATATATTTATAAGAATTCAGGTCAATTATTTATTTACAATAAAGTTGAATTTAATAAGTTAAACTATCAAAACACATGCATATTGGTAGTTGTTAGTTTTATGTCACGAAATATTCCGAAAATGATTATATACTTTATTCTTTTGATAGAAAGAACCTTTTTTTTTGGCTTCGTCAATAAATTGACGAATATCAGAGTAATATAACAGAGTATAACAACATCACACTATCAGATCAAATTTTTTTTTTTTTTTGCGAAAATTGAAATTAATCTTTCAATGCTGATTTGAGTTTATGCAAAAAAAGAAAATGAAGTTCAGTTTTTATTTGAAAGAGTATGTGATGTTTGTGATGGAGTAGTTTTATTTTTATCTGAGCTGAGAATGTTTTGGTTGGCGGGGTTTGATTGTGCTTCTTCCGAACAGCATCATAATTATCCGCTTTTGACCTGTAGTTTGTTCTGTTGAACTCGAACTTGATTCTATCCCCCTTTTGATCTGTTTCTTGATTTTATGTTTGCCTAAAGTTTGTACTGATGATGTTGTGTTCAGATGAAAAAAGTGAAAGCTCCACAACCAAAACATGCTCAGCTCAGTGAACGAAACTATGCCACAATCATACAACTGAGCTAAAACTTTTCCACCAACCGAGAAACCACTCTCAGAGTTCATCTAAGCTTAGTGTCGTCTGTACCAAGCACGGATATAGGAGAACGGTTGGACATGGAGGTAGCGATCCCATTTGGTATAAAAATCGATTTGCCAGAAAACGCCAGGCAGAAATAACAGTTTTAACTGTTTAAACGATGTCCTTGGAAAGTTTTCATTTCGAACAGTTATCATGCCTTATTATAAAAGCCGAGTTTTTTCGGGTGTCATGAGGTGGATGCAACATCTCACAATTAAACCAACAATTAATATAGGTAGATGTGATGTGTGCACAATGTGGCATACCAGAAGAATCATTCAAATCTCTGAGGAATTGAAAAGATACAACCTAGTTGTTCTTTAAATCACTGGAACACATTGGACGCATGTTGGACAAAAGAGACTAACTTCAGCAGAAATGCTGTTGTATTCTGATCATAAAGAAGAAAATGCTACACACACAAGGAGTTGCACTGATGCTATTCAGGCAAGCAAAAATGCACTTATAGAATGCCAATCTCATGGATCCAGGATCATCGAAGCATTCTTCAAAACAAAGAAAGAGGGCAATACAATAAAGGTTGTCCAGTGCTATGCATGCATAGGCCGAAACTAGTAAATGAACATAGGCATTAAAGATGAAAATCGTTTAAATATGGAAGATCTATTAACGACAGCAGAAAAAACTGCAACAGAAGGAAACATGAAACAGGTTGGTAGAGCAATTTAAATAACTCTTGACCAGACCAACCCAACTGAATCCACTTAACACCGAAGCAGCACCCACAAACCTCCTAATGGATACTGACCCATCAACAGTTGGCGAGATCAATGTGGCTATTAATCAAATCAGTGGGTAGCAAATCATCAGGATCAGAAAACATTTCAGTTGAGGCAATGAAAGCAGACGTAGCAATAACTGCAAAAATGTTCCACGCTCTCTTCATCAAGATTTAGGATGAAGAACAAGTACCAACAGACTGGAAAGAAGGACACTACAAAAAAACACCAAAGAAAGGAAATCTCAGTAAGTGTGAGAAATATAGAAGTATCACTCTACTCTCAACACCGGGAGAAGTCCTCAACAGAGTGTTGCTGAACAGAATGGATCAGCAGGTTGTATGCCATAAGGATTGATCGTGAACCAATCAAACGAGGAAGTATTTGACATCGTGTACAGAATGTCCCTATGAGGTACCTGAGAAGGTAGTCAGGACCATACAGAATTCTTATAATGGATTAAACTGCAAACTCGTGCATGGAGGACAGTTCACAGATTTGTTCCAACTGAAAACCGATGTCAAACAAGGTTATTTACTCTCACCCTTTATCTTTTCTCTTGGTTGCTCATTAGATTATGAAGACGTCAGCATCTCAGGGAAGAAGTATGGAATACAGTGGAAAGCTCAGATTCAGCTAGTCGATTTGAACTTTGCAGATGATCTAGCTCTTCCCTTCCACACACAACAAGAAACGCAAGTGGAGGGTATGAGAGACCAGTACAAATAGATTCTCCAAGCCGAAGAAAAGACTGAATGTTACACATTTCTTTTGAGCATAAAGATCACAGTTATTGTTTTCTCAACCGTATCGTAAGCAATCCAGTGTAACCGAAAGATATTTTACAACCAGGAACAAAACTAAACTGAAACTGACTTCATTTTTATAGTGACTACTTTATTTCATTGAACATGGAATACCGACTGACTGAATCGGCTGCTAGTTTTGTGTTCGACAGTACACTTGTGTACCATAAGGTACAACGTATTGATAACAGGTTTTTAAAAGTGTATAACGCAGTTGACTAACACTTCTTGGCAATTTTGATCGAGTGGATTTTTAAAAAATATTAAATTGTGATGTTGGAGAAAATTTTCCAGCTCAGATGGGTGATTGTGGTGGAGTCTCGTTCGCTGAGCTAGAAAGTTTTGACTGTTGAGATTTCATTGTTTTTCTTCTTCTGAACAATATCATCATCAGTACAAAATTTTAAGGAGGGAAATAAAGTATTTAGATGACTCGTATGACTCGTATGACAACCAATCAATATCGCAGTCAACAGAGGACAAGCTGCTCGTCATACAGAGAGGAATCCGAATATCTCACTTCTTCTACTTAAAGTTTGTGCTACTGATAATGTTGTGTTCAGAAGAAAAACACTGACAGCTTCACAACCAAAAACATTCAACTCAGAGAATGGGAAAACTCCATCCACTATAATGTTATAACTTGTCATAACATCAATTGTTAACAACAGCGAAGAATGGCACATTCATGATTAGATCATGAGAATAAATCAAATAACTTACACCACTAGTCCAATTTGTTGGTACAGTTTTTTCCTTGATCAATATCATTTAATAATCTTGGTATCCAACCATAATAAATACCATTTTTTAAATCACTTTGACCAACACTATACCATACACATGCTAACCAATGTGCCAAAAGTACAAACCTGATATCATTAATAATAAACTCGCTGCCATATATTCTAAATATTGATCTAGTTTACGTGTAACCCGACCAATACGTAATAAACGTACAACTTTTAATGCACCAAATAATGAACTGATTGTACTCTGCGATTTTGAAATGAAAAAAATAAGAAAGACACAAGGAAAAAATGGTGTTAAAGGCAAATGTAAAATATATCTATATATATAACGACGTGCCAGAGAAGAAAGTTACCATCATACACACTTATTATGATGGATTAAAGTGGGAAAGTATGCGTGTAAGAGAGCTCACAGATTCGTTTGGAGTAAAGATGGGGGTCAGGCAAGGTTACTAACTTTCAACCTTTCTCTTTCTCCAAGTGATTAACTGAATAATGAAGACATCAATATCCGGAAGGAAGCACGGGATACAGTAGACAACTAGGAGGCAGGCCATTGAGCTCATTACCCGGTGAATATGAGATAGACATGAGAAAAATGAACGACAGATGGGTAGGACTAGCAAGGAAGGCGGAGGACAGAGCAAGATGGAAAATGCTGATTGGTGGCCTATGCTAGCAGTGGAATCAAAGATGTGTGTGGTTCGTTATTTTGACGACTCATCAGCTGAATGCAACTGCCATATCTCAAAGTTGATGTTCACTGTGAGATTTGAACTGAGTAACGTTCGCTGGAATCAACTCTCATACCAAAAATCTCCTAGCTCTAAGAAACTCTCTGTCAGTAAACACCGAAGTCAAAATTCACCATACACATATCAAAACATTTGTAGTATAAAGTAGAAACTTGACGAAGTAATACAATCAGAACTACGAAACACATCAACTAAAAGATGTGTTGATTAACAGTTGTCTACACATGACACTTTAGTCCCGTTGGACAGATATCATTAGAAACAACTTATTGAGGATGAGCACAAACTAGATTCTTACAGCTGAGGAAGATGCGTATCAGGAAGAAAAAATGGTCAGAGCCTGCCTGAAAAGATAGTCAACATCGTACGGAACTCTAATGATAGATTAAACTGCAAACGTATGCATGGAGGACAGCTTACAGACTCGTCCACGGTAAAGAATGGTGTCAACCACGGTTGTTCACCTTCAACCTTTCTCAATCTCGTGGTGATCGACTGAATTATAAAGACGTCAACATTTAGGTGGAGGAATGAGATAGATTGGATAACGAGGATGCAACTCGACGATCTCAACTTCGCAGATGGTCTACTTCTTCCATACCATATATAACAATAAATTCAGGAGAAGAAAACCGGTGTACCAGCAGCTTCTGCAGCAGTAAGTCTCAATATACCAATAAGGGAAAAACAAGATTCTCCTATGCAACACAACATGCACCAACCAAAACAATCTTGATGGAGATGTTTTGGAAGATTTAAAAAAACTTTACATATCTAGGCGGTATAACTGATCAGTAAGGTAAATCTGATGCAGATGTGAAGGCGCGGGTCGGAAATGCAAGGGCTGCCTTTCCACAATTGCCGAACATCTGGAACTCCAAACAACTATCAACCAAAATAAAAATTTCCAATACAAACGCTTAGACAGTTTTACTGTATGAGGAGGAAACTCGGAGAAACGCGAAGTAGACAAGCACTAAAGAGAATCTTCAAAATGAAGCTAAGCAAAATTAAGCAGCGAAGATGAGTGGGTCGTGGATGTTCACTGCCACCGGTGAGTCAGTCCCATAGCAGGACGAAACGGTCGTCTTCCAGTGCTTCCAGGTTTCTAATGGTTGTCTAACAATCACTGATTGATCATTTCAAATGTGTAAAAACGCAAAACCTCCAAAAACACTGCCCCAAAATATCGTAACAGTGCTTGCTCACTAGTGACAAGCTTCGTGAGGAAATTCTCGGAGTTCTAGTTGAGAAGACGTGACTAGTGGAGTTGGAATTCAACCCTGTCGTGTGTAGGCAGTACCTACCAAAGACAAATGTGTGAGGTCGCGCAAAATCCCTAGATCAATCAGAGTTAGACATTAACACCGTTGGATGCCGGCCCAGTGATCCGATGGTTAGGCGTTCGCGCACAATACCGAAGGTCCCGGGTTCGAATCCTGTGGGGTGCAGGATGTGCACTGCCACTGATGAGTCAGTCCCATAGCAGGACGAAACGGTCGTCTTTCAGTGCTTCCAGATTTCTTCTAATGGTGCTGGTCTAACAATGATTGATTGATTGATAATTTCAAATGTGCAAAAAAACACAAATCTTCAAAACTCTGACAGAAAACATAAAACAAACACAAACTTACTTGTGTCGCTTCTGGTTGAAATGCATTGAACACATCATAGGGCAAACAAGATAACACATCAACAATAAACCATCCTTTTAAATAATTAATACGTATAATCGTTGCGTCCGATATCACTTCACCATTTGGTCCAACAAATGTTGTATGAAAATTTAATACAATATCTATGAAAAATATCACATCGACTATACTGTCAATAATTAAAAAACTAACATCATCCATGGTTTTATTTTTAAATGCAGCATTAAATGGTACCATGACAGCGGTGTATCCGGTTAGGAATAGAATTAACCAATCCCATGTGGTTTTAAATGCAATATAATGTAGAATGATATGTGGTGGAGTTTTTGGGGCTTCTTGTTTATATTGTGGCACTAAATCAAGCCATGATGATGTTGACTAGATTTTTTGGTGGAGGGGAGAAAAAGAGGAAAAAATAGAAAACGGGTAAATATACACATGAGTTTAGTGAATTAATCATATCAAGGAAGAGATACTCACTGTGTTACTTACTCACTTACTTACGCCTGTTACCTCCCAATTGAGCATAGGCCACCGAGCAGTTTTCTCCTGCCTACTCTGTCCTGTGCTTCCTTTTCCAGTTCTGTCCAATTTTTGTTCATTCTTCTCATATCTCTCGTTATTTCTTGGTGTAATGTGTTATTTGGCCTTCCTCTTTTCCTTTTACCTTGAGGGTTCCGAGAGAGAGCTTGTCTCGTGACGCAGTTTGGTGCTTTTCGTAGAGTGTGTCCTATCCACTTCCACCACTTCTTCCTGATTTCCTCCTCCACTGGAATGTGGTTTGTTTTCTCCCACAGTACGTTGTTGCTGATGGTGTCTGACCAACGAATACGAAGTATTTTGCGTAGAAAACTGTTAATAAACACTTGTATCTTCTGGATGATGGCTTTGGTAGTTCTCCAAGTTTCCGCTGCATACAGTAGAACTGTCTTCACATTTGTACTGAATGTCCTGATTTTGGTTTTAGTTGAAAGTTGTTTGGAGTTGCAGATATTTTTCAACTGTAGAAATGCAGCCCTTGTTTTGCCAATCCGTGCCCTCACATCTGCATCGGATCCACCTTGATTGTCGATGATGCTGCCCAGATATGTAAATGTGTTAACGTCCTCCAAGGCATCTCCATCAAGAGTGATTTGGTTGGTGCAGTAGAACCTTCGGGGCTACTGTCGGTCCCAAGCCCAGGTAAAGGACGATTGTTGGACATGGGGTTGGCGACCCCATTCCGTCAAAAACTAACTTGCCAAAAAAACGCTAACCAGAAAAAATTCATCGTGTTAAATGTACTGAAATTACACATGCATGCTATTAGACATGAAGGGCAGCATTTTTACACTTAAAGAATATCTATAACTCGAAACTACTATTTGTCAACTAACATTAAAGTCACAATTTTCTTCTATACAAACGTCAAAGCAGTCATATTGTATGCGGTGGAAACTTGCAAAACTGCGAAAGATATCATCCACAAGATGAAAGTGTTTATTTTAACAGTTGTTTACGCAAAATACTTCGGATACGTTAGTCAGATACCTCAAGGAAGAACCTCCGAAGGTGGATTGGATACACATATTAAGGAAAATACCAAACTGCATCACAAAACAAACCCTCACTTGGAATCCTCAAGAACAAGAGAAAACAGGAGGAACAAAGAACCTATTACTCCAAGACATGAAGACAGAAATTTATGGTGTAAAAAATGACTGAAGTTATACATGAATATTAGTAGATATTAAACAGAGAAATTCAAATGTTTAGATAGTTCTATCGTAAGGGGGGGTAAAAGCTTGGAGAACAACTGTCTACGCAAAATACTTCGAATCCCTTGGTCAAATACTATCAATAAAAAGCTATTTTTTAAGAGAGAACAAAGCAGATTCCAGCAGAGGAATAAATCAGAAAGAAGCGTTGGAGGTGAAGATAGGGTATATATTGAGGAAAGCACTCAAATGAGTCACAAGACAAGCCCTCACTTGGAATTCTCGAGGACAAAGGAAAGAAGAAGACCAAAGAACACATTACACGGACAAAATAGAGAGAGACATGAGAAGAATGAACGGAAATTGGATAGAACTGGAAAGGGAAGCCTAAGACAGAATTGGTTGGAAAATACTGGTCAGCGGCCTATGCTCTATAGGTGGTCACTGACGAAAGTAAGTAAGTAAGTAAGTAAGTAAGTAAGTAAGTAAGTAAGTAAGTAAGTAAGTAAGTAAGTAAGTAAGTAGTAAGTAAGTAAGTAAGTAAGTAAGTAAGTAAGTAAGTAAGTAAGTAAGTAAGTAAGTAAGTAAGTAAGTAAGTAAGTACATAAGTGAGTAAGTAAGTAAGTAAGTAAGTAAGTAAGTAAGTAAGTAAGTAGGTAGGTAAGTATGTGAGTAAGTAAGTAAGTAAGTAAGTACGTAATATTTTGCTGAGTTCTATGAGTTACTCTGTTAATATAACTATAAACAATACGCGTTTTGATGGTGTTTAAATTAGGTTAGGTTCAAAATTACAATCTGGCGATTAAACATGAGTCACTGATTTTTCAAAAGTTAGGATAATCGTAATTTTAGGTTCATTACCCGCCCTATAAATTTCTACTATCATGTAAATACTGAAAGTATATTTTATCAAAATATAAGCTGACAGGATTCAGGAAAATTATCAACCTTATTCAAGGGTTTAATCAATATTTGTTTACTGCAAATACAGATAACTTAAAAAGGTTTTAAGTATGGACATTTTTTTAAAAAATGTACTCGTCAAAATCTAACCAACAATAAATAACCTATACTATTTTGAAAAATAAAGAGTTGGATTAATTGAATAAGCTGGAAACATTAGATGACCATTTTTTTTCTAGTACTGGGACTCATCAACCATGTGTGAGTATACGATCCTGAAATAGGAAAAATCGAAACCTGGACATTTGGTTTCACGGGTGAACGTTTAATTTCTTGACTACTAACCCGAAAACGAATATCTTGAGTTCGATTGTCGATTAAACTCAGCGATTGCCACAACCATATGATGGCGCTTATGTTCCCAAGGAAACAATTGTCCTTTTCTGTTATGACAAAGGAATAATGGGAAAAACTGAAAACCCTTACAAATGAAAGTAAATACCAGATCAAACTGAATAAAATTGATGGCTATCAAAACTCTTTAAAACTAATCTATGATCCAATGATACCCAAATAGTATAAGTAGTGAATTTAAGTTACGACTCAATTGGTATTCTACTGTTGTTCACTATTCGATCATAAATGTCTTTGAAGCATTGCTTGAGTATCGTGGGACAACCGAGTGAGCAATGCAGTTATTAGGAAACGGTTGCTAGGTAAGGATGGCCGGTCAGTAGATGAAGTATTAAAACTTCATCAGTTGAGGTGTTTGGGGCATGTGTTGCGTATGCCTAACCACCGACTGCCTCGTCGAGCTATGTTTTGTGGTGTAGGAATAGGTTGGAAGAACGCCATGGGGGCCGCCAGACCAAAACATGACAGGAATGCATGAAGTCATTTACAAGTGGACTGAGTCATGTTTTTAGGTGTCGAATACCTGTTTGTAGTCCGCGAGATGATAGTAATCAATGGTTAGAGACCCTGAATGACATAGCTCAAAACCGTTTACAATGGCGCCGGCGCATTTATTCTTTGTGTTCTCTCAAGCCAGAAATTTTTAATTCTTCATCACTTGATCTTTATCTTTTTAAGTTTATTTCACTAGATTCTACTTCTTGAATGATGATTATTTGAATTCTATTCATCCACACTTGACCTACTTTAGTTATCATATTTTACAAATTTTCTTACTACTATCAGTACACCTGTTTTCCTATTATCCACTTGAACTTTTGCCTATTAGATGTAGTTACGTAATCTTTTTCATTTCATTGTGATTATCACTCAAATTGACTTGATTGGTTTAACATTTTCATATAAATATTCATGTATATTAGAGTAAAGCCTGATGACGATCTAATCGAAATCAATATTGTTCGTTTATATGGATTTGAATTGCCAATTACATCTCTGTGCTGATGTGGTATGAAAACATGAACTGATGTACGTACGGTACCTAAGACGTTCTACGTTGCGATTGATTGATTGTTATTCAATATTCAATGAACTAATGTTCACTAAGATAAATTTGTACATTTAAAAAAATATATATATAAATTACAATTGGCTTATTACACGCTTCATTGGCGTGTGAAAAAACAAATCTATTTTTAGTAATATTAATGTAAACAAACAAATTTTAATGTTCAACATGAACTTGAAATTTTTAAAAAAAAAAAGAGCTATGCCCACAACATTTCCATATATTTCAATAACAAATTATTATTATTTTTTTCAAAAATTCTAATGTCCATAAATTATGTAAGTGAAGGAAAAGCAAGCACAGTGAATGTACTAAATTCTTCTCTCTCAAAGATAAACCAGTTCATTGAACACATTTCACACTTTTCTGCTCAAAAAAATAGAAAAAAACTGCCAATTCACCTATTCAATGTTCAATTCACTGGTTGCATTTTAATTTAGGCGCGCTAATTTGTACAGCAAACAAACAAACAAACAAAAAACACTCTTATTGATTGACACAGTCAGTATAAGGTTGTAAGATTTTTTTCAAAACCGGGTAAAGCAAAAAAAAATCCTATTTCACAAAGTCGATGAGTGAATTATTGATTTTGTTTTCAAGTCCCTATCTCATAGATGTAAGTGAGAAAAGAAGGACAGAGAGAGACACAGAGAGGAAGAGAGAGAGAGAGCGAGTCAAGCAGAGAATAAATAATCTTTTACATGAACAAGAAAAGAAACTTACCTGTTTGTTCAATGAATAAAAATTTTAAATTGCGTTACCATGAGAATCAAATAAGTCAGTAAGTAATATATATGATGTATATGTTTATATATATATATATTCATTTAAAGTAGTTAGTTATATTTAAACCGGAAATTTCTAAATGAGATTACATATACGCTTACATTATTAGAATGGGCTCATTACATTTGCCTTAAGTATAATTGACAGATTTTAATGAGGAAGTCCGTGCATACTCTGAAATGACATGTCATCTATTTAAAAAAAAGTTTATAGTTTTTGAATAATTTCTGGGAAAAATTAAAAAAAAAAACAGTTCCTAAATTAAAATTTCTTTTAAGATGATTTTAATTTTGTACAGTTGTCTATGTAAGATACTTATGATCCGTTGGCTAGACACTATCAGTAACAACCTACTAGAGGAGAGGAGAAACCAGATTTCAACGGAGAAAGAAATTAACAAGAAGTGAAAAGTACTGGAGCGTATCACAAGACCAGCCTTCACTTGAAATCCTCAAGGTCAGCAGAAAAGAGGAAGACCAAAGAACATATATTACGTCGAAAATCGGAGACAGACAAGGAGGGGAATGAACAATAATGGCGAAGAACTAGAAAGGAATGCCGGGGAACAGAGTGGGTTGGAGAATTTCTGGTCGGCGGCCTATGCTCTACTGGGAGTAACAGGCTTAAGTAAGTGAGTAAGTAAGCTATGATGGTCAACAGTAACATATATATATATATATATTGTTGGGGATGTCAGATCCCCAGAACTCGCTTGATAAATGCCATATCTTGGATTTCACGTTTGCCATCATGGGCTGATCAGTTGACCTTGAGACCTAATTTCCCACCAGGAAAATCCATGGCCGTGATTGGCTGCTGTGTATTTTAGTGTGCTATTTTTGTGACTGTACCAAGGACGTTTCTATGATGTATAAATAAACGAGAGTTGTATGCTTGATTGTACTGTGCTTGCTGGGTGTTTGTAGAATATACTTTCTACGCTTACAAAGCCTTCTTATTTCCGCTTGGTATTCAAGGTAGCCTACCTGGACGTTGGTATTCGTCTCGTTCGCGTTTATCTAGTAAGGTGAACTCGTATTAGCCTCAAGCAAACTTAGTGACGAACATAATATATACATATGTATGAACACTTTTTTCACTAGAATTTAGTGCCTTGTAAACATTATCGATCAATCAACAAATCAATAAATGATGTGAAGTTTTTGAAAATAAACTTTTAATCTGTTTAAATCTGAAAAGAAAACGAAAGAAAATCCACATAGCCAGGTATCTTTAATTCAACTGTGATGTTGGTGTACAATAAATATTGGACATTGAAATATACAGAGTAGTTTTGTAAGTTCTTTTTCCCTCACAGGATAAAAAAGTCGATTTCAAAGGCTTAAAATAGTAATTATAACAATGAGTATCATTATTATTGTGGTGTGTGCTACTTATACGAACGATATAAGTAGTATAAAAAGGGACGTAAAAGAAGAAGTCTCACGGTCAGAAGAGGAAAACGGAAAGCAAATGGAGCAAAAGCAAGAAGTAAATGGAGTACCAACAGGAAGTAAAGGAAGCAACAACAGGAATGGAAGAAGGATGGAGTGTTGGAAGTCACGACTCAAAGATGGTGTGCAAATAGAGTGTATTCAATGTAATGTTTTCGTTTTTAATTGACTAAGGGCGCCTGCCACAGTCTTCTCATCATTATAATTATAGTCAGTGTAGGGTTATGGAGATCGTTGAGTTTCATTGTATCCGTAAATCGATCAATGTCAGATCATTATTAGAAACGTACAAATAATGAACGGTTGTTTTGTCTACTTAGTATGGAACTCGAAAACACTATGCATTCACAAACTCACACATGTGAGCATCTCATCTTAACTTCAATGCTTCGAAAA